TTTTCACTGGAGTGCTCCAGGTGTTTCTGCAGTCTAATCAATAATCTTAAAAAGTAGGTGTGAAAGCAAATGTTGTTAGAGGGGAAAATGGAGATTTTTACTTCCTTCTAAAATATGATAGCACCTGACCCAAAACGTTTCTACTTAATGGACTCTTTGTGTACCAATATTGTTGATAGATACAGGTTTTAACTCTTCTGTTGTGTAGAATCTTCCCTAAATGCTACAATTTCACTTTTTTTGTCATAGCACATTATCCTTATCTGTTTGGATGCTTGTGAGGATTCTTGTATTTACAGTTTTCTTTGATCATTACTAAACTTCAAACAGTTCCTTGAATGCAAGATTTTTTTCCCCTAAATTTTATGTTCTGTATCTATATTTATTTATCAGTCCCTCCTTCCAAGTTAGGGCAAATGCTAATGAACTATCTTTCCCACTAACTAGCTGAAATTCAGTCTCTTGACTTTTTTTTGGACAGCACATAAAAGAAAAGATTTTTGTTTTCCTAGACTGATGAAACAGGTTGGGGAAGAAAGGAAAGGATTATTCTTATCTGTTCAGTCACTGATTGTTGATGGAAGAGGTGACTATTTAGGGCCATTTTCTTACTTAACAATTTATTTACTTAAAAATAATAATCCACAGTAAATTTTGTTAAGAACATTCACTTAGCTTTGAGAATGCAGTCTTGCAGATTATAGGAAGTAAGATTACGTAACATTACTTCTGAGACTAAAATTGTGATCTCTTCTTACATACAATCCTTGTAAATTTGTATTCTGTATTATTTCTGTGAGTAGACTTTGACGTACGATGTATAAGTTCTTTTGCTGCTTGTCTCCAGGCTTTCATCGAGACTTTTGAAATCTTTCAAGAAGTTATTCTTTCCAAAATCTTAACTTTCTGAACTTCTTGTCTATGCATACTTTTACATTCTCTATCATTTTCACTCTCTGAATGTCTTTGAATCTATGCTTAGAATATTAATATTATATACTAAGGTATATGCATTATATTACAGTATGTAAAGTATCTACAGTTAAAACAGACAGGCATTCTACAGCACCGTACCATGCTGGATCTTCAAACTCCTATCATCACTTCTTTTACTATACTAAATAGGATTCTCAGTATGGATTCTGATATGAATTTGAATTGGTTTGTGTGTTTGTGTAAGTGTGGACACACACATGTTTTATATCCAATTTCCAGCTGAGGTTGATCATTTAGTTACTGTCAGTAATGTAATTGATAAATCTGGTAGACATCTGAGCAAGACAGATCAATGTAAGGAATAAATAAAAGTTAACTTATGAATGGTGTCTTACGTGTACAAGTATCTGAAGGGGGAGTGTCAAGAGGATGAGGCCAGCCTCTTCTCCGTGGTGCCCAGCAACAGGACAAGAGGCAATGGGCACAAACGGAAACACAGGAAGTTCCATCTGAACCTGAGGAAAAACTTCTTCACTGTGAGGGTGACAGAGCATTGGAACAGGTTGCCCAGAGAGGTGGTGGAGTCTCCTTCGCTGGAGATATTCAAAAGCCGTCTGGATGTGATCCTGGGCAATATGCTCTAGGTGACCCTGCTTGAACAGGGAGGTTGGACTAGATGATCTCCAGAGGTCCCTTCCAACCTAAACGATTCTGTGTCTGTGTCTGTGAGCATAGAATTTGTCATGGTGTTGGGTATTGGAGATAATGCTGTGAGCACTGCTTGGAGACTGGAGCTCTTGAGGTATGAATAACCTACGATAGAGACAAAAAGAGTTGCTTATAGAGATAAATGCATGAGAGCAGTTCATTACTGAGCACCTCCTCTTGCTTTTCCAGTCATTTAACAGAGTCAGGAAATCAATAATTGTGTTTAATAACCATATTTCAAAATCTCTGCTTTAGCAGTAATTACTTTACAGCATAAATAGTATTCATGAAACTAGAAAATATGTTAAATACATTATTACTGTTATAAGTTTTACTTCTGAATTTATTAAGTAGTTTGTCATTTCAGATTTTTTGTATTACCATTTGCTATTTCATGTTTGTGTGAAAACTGAGATAAAAAGAATGGAGGTAGAGAGAATGGCAAATCTTTGACTTTGCTTGAAGAATAAAAAACAGTCTACCTACAGTCATCTCAACTAGAAGAACTAAGGCAAGCTGCTTGTATCCTTGTTGGAGATGATGAGAGAAGGAGGGTAGAGTGCACCTTGTGCTCCTTGTGTGCACCATGTGCAAGGTGTTCACCTTGCAGTCCTGGTTCTCTGAGCATCCAGGAAGGAGGCCTTTTGAAGTGTACCATGGTATCTTCCTACTCTCTAAAGGAAAACTGCACTCAGATTTCACCTTCACCTGTGAAGCTGCAGATGGGATGTGCATATGCCTTTCCAACTTGAATCATGATTTCACTCAAAATTTGCCTAAACAGAAAAAAAAAAGATTATTTAACATAGTAAGAAATTATAGCATGTTACAGTACTACATCACACAGAATCAGAGAATGGTTGAGGTTGGAAGGGACCTCTGGAGATCATCTAGTCCAACCCCCCTGCTCAAGCAGGGTCACCTAGAGCATGTTGCCCAGGACTATGTCCAGATGGCTTCTGAATATCTCAAGGGAAGGAGACTCCACAACCTCTCTGGACAATGTGTTCCAGTGCTCAGTCACCCTCACAGTGAAGAAGTTCAGATGGAAGGTTCAGATGGAACTTCCTGTGTTTCCGTTTGTGCCCATTGCCTCTCGTCCTGTCACTGGGCACCACGGAGAAGAATCTGGCCCCATCCTCTTGACACCTTCCTTCCAGAGCTTTGTACACATTTATTGGATGCCCCCTCAGTCTTCTCTTCTCCAGGCTGAAGAATCCCAGCGCCCAGCAGGGGTGACCAGGTGCTTCTCTGCAGAGCTGCTTTCCAGCAGGTCAGCCCCCAGCCTGTCCTGGTGCCTGGGGTTATTCCTCCCCAGGTGCAGGACTTGGCATTTCCCTTTGTGGAACTTCATGAGACTCCTGCTGGCCCATTTCTCCCGCCTGTCGAGGTGCCTCTGAATGGCAGCACAACTATTAGGTGTATCAGCCACTCCTCCCAGCTTTGTATCATCAGCCAACTCGGTGAGGGTGCACTCTGTGTGCCTTCATCCAGGTCTTTGATGCAAAAGTTGAAGGGGATGGGACTCAGTATGGACCCCTGGGGGACACTGCTAGCTACAGGCCTGCACTGATCACTGGTCAGGATCCTCTGAGCTCTGCCGTTCAGCCGCTTCTCAACCCACCGTGCTGTCCACTCATCTAGCCGGCACTTCCTGAGCTTGCCTGTGAGGATGTAGTGGGAGACAGTGTCGAAAGCCTTGCTGAAGTCAAGGTAGACAACATCCGCTGCTCTCCTCTCATCTACCCAGCGAGCCATTCCATCATACAGGGCTATCGGATTGGTTAAACGTGATTTCCCCTTTGTGAATCCATGCAGACTGCTGTCAGGATCTGTCCTTCATGGGCTTGGAAATGGTGTCCAGGATGAGCTGCTCCATCACCTTTCCAGGGAGGGAGGTGAGGCTGAGTGGCGTGTAGTTCCCTGGGTCCTCCTGCTTGCCCTTTCTGAAGAACAGGGTGATGTTTGCTTTCTTCCAGTCCTTCCGGACACCTCTCCCGATTGCCACGGCCTTTCAAAGATGATGGAGAGCGGCCTAGCAATGACATCTGCCCCATTCATTAGTGGGCCCACATTTTCTCTAGTCTCGCCTTTGTTGCTGATGTGTTTGAAGAAGCCTTTCTTGTTGTCCTTGACATCCCTTGCCAGACTAAATTCCAAATGGGCCTTGGCCTTCCTTATTGCATCCCTGCATATTCTGGCAACATTCCTATATTCCTTGCGAGTGGCCTGTCCCTGGTTCCAGCTTCTGTACACTTCCTCCTTCAGTCTGAGTACTTCCTTCTTCTGTGTGAGTTTTGCCAGGAGTTCCTTGTTCAACCATGCAGCTCTCCTGCCCCCTTTGCTCGAATTCTTGCTCATTGGGATGCACTGTTGTTGAGCTTGGAGGAGGTGATCCTTGAATATTAACCAGTTTTCTTGGACCTTCCTTCCTTTTAGAACCTTATGCCATGGGATTCTCCCAAGAAGGTCCCTGAAATGGCCAGAGTTTGCTCTGCAGAAGTCCAGAAATGATATCCTTATGAAATCCTAAAAATATATCTATAAAAACTGCAAACAATTCACTGCAGAAATTGTGATATTAATTTAAAATATTATCACTCAACAGCAGTTTCTTACATCCAGTGGCAGAGGTAACAACAGGTGGTGTGAGCAGAAGAATTTATGTAGTCTATCTGTTGACTTTTTACAGAACCAGTAACTTCAAGCAGGTAGTCTGTAATCATCAACTGAGGCTGGTAACACCTCTTCCTTCTGTGAGCAGCTGATCATAGACACTCAGTCTATATTTCTGTAATGAGATTGATAGATTACCAAATCTCCAATTCAGTGTAAGAAAATTGCTTTGGTCATTGTTCGGATTGCTTCTGTATATGTGTAATGAACATGCCATTTACAAAATATGATATATCTAAAAATATTTTAATATCATTTAAGGTATAGCAATTGATGTTAAAGCAACACTTCAGCTTTTGCTTTGCTATTATCTAGTTAAAAGGATCAGTATTGTTAAAGTTCTTTGTTATACTTCCAAGAAAATATGTGTAAAAAAACCTACCTGACTCTGCAACTGTACTCATATGTAAGTAGTTCTACTGTCTTATCGAGATAATTTTCCTTAACTTGAACAATGACTTCAAAATTTGTACTTGATGAGGTCTGTGTATACTACCTGTGTATATGTACTCTTACAGTATGTATTCTTTTTATTTGCATAAAAGGTAGGATTTACCAGTAGTATGCTTTACATAATATGCTACTTTTCAAAGCCACTAGAACAGACATTTTGTCTATATTGTTCTTGCAAAAAAAACTTACTTTTGATTATTTTCCTCTTTGTAAAATGTGTTCACCAGGTATCTTCAGATCTTTCAATGGTAGGGGGTGCACCAGTTCTTACTGTAGAACCAGATGATGCAGTCGCATACACTTTGACTGTTTCTCCGTGGAAACGAGGAATTTTTCAAGGTACAATGTAGATTTCAAATATATAAAATACTTATAAATTAAATCTGTTTTTTACAGTTTTGAACAGTTTTTAAACAGTTTTTTACAGTTTTTTATCAGATTAAATCTGTTTACAATTAACCCACATTTCTGTTCAACATAACATTTCTTCTGGAAGTAAGGCTATAATTGTTGCTGATGGTGTTTTTTAAACTTGTGCATATTTTTATTTTTAAAGGTATATTACTGCTAACAAACTGGGCAGGTGCTTCAAAAATACAAGCATAAGCATTTAAGTGGACTAATATAATTTAACTAGGTGGGAATTCATGAGTTTGAGTTTTCCCCAAGTTATCAGGTCTATACCTAATTTTCCAAATAAAGTTGAATAGCTGTAGCACTAAGCACTAGCAGAACCAAAAATTTAAAGGTGGAGACCAGAATTTCATTCTTTTCCTTAACTAAGGTTTAACTTGTTGCTTACAATGCCAGAGCAAATAGGTAGGAAGTAATGAACTCTGATTCTTTCTTTGGTAGTTGAGACATACAAAGGCTAGGAATTCTAAAATTAATTCCAAATAATTTGTATAAGTCTGTGTGCTAGTATTCTTATGGTACAATAGCAAGACCCCTACTTAACTAATGTCAGTGTGTCACATTTCATGTTTTGTCTTGAAAAGGAATTTTTTTTAGATAAATGAAAAATTTTCACCAGGTAAAAAAATGACTTCAGCATTCTCAAATATAGTAATAATTCTAGATTATATTACAATTCTATGATGTTCAGTTCATCTGAGAAATATGATTATGAAAATTAGACTGTACAGTCAGATTTTTCCTCTCTTGTAGAGTAGGTGTTGTAGCGCTTAGCAGAGAGAAGTATGGTCTGTGAAGAAGAGAATTACAGGAACAAGATCCGTTAAAGTAACTGAATTTTGCTCAGAAAACTGTAATTTAAGCAACTTCTTAAAGAAAAGGGTTGCTATGCAATATTGGAGAAATCTCTTAGTCCAAAATGCTCCGTGTGTTTTCTTGGTATTTTTTGGTTCCTAACTGTAAATACTCGATTCTGCCACCTTCTTAGACATCTGAGTTTAATGACAGCTGTTTTCTCAACATTAAAAATCATGTCAGTCTTATCTCTGACTATCCCAAAGTAGTTGATTCTTTTAACCATTTTGGTTTTAATATCTCATATGTAAAATACAGGTAAATTGTAGGTAATAATACCATCTCAGTTCAAGCTGAGTTGTGAAAATAAATTAATAACTGTGTAAAAACTTGGTCAGGATCTGCAGGAAGACTTCAGTGCCTTCTTGCTAAATCAGTTGCCCTAAAACAAAATCTGTTTTCTCTAAATAAGTCTACTCTCTCAGAGTGGAATTTGTAAAAATCAGTCAAAACCGTGCACTAGGAAATATTGAAGAAGAACCATATATTAAGTTATGCCTTTTTGGTGGGTTTTAAAGACTCATGAATATTCTTGCCTTCTGGCTTACTGAATCCACAATTCTTTACACATAGTGAACCTCTTCATAGAAGGGATTCCAAAGAATCCACCATACAGCAGTTTAATGCCAGGTGGCAAGAGCCATGCCTGGAAGAGGAGAAACCTGCACATTCACATTGATGTCTCCTGTGTTCTGTCATTCCTAACTTCTATTACAATGGTCTCATTATGCTTGCAATTATTAAAGGTTCACTGAGTGAGGGAGAACAGTCAGTCTCTCTAACCTGCCAGCAAAGTTATTTGCTCAAAAGCTGGGAAGATACATGTACTCTTTTTTTTTTTTTTTTCAAAAAACAGTTCATATATGTTATGTTTTAGAATAACTTGATAAAATGCTGAAGTTACTCTTTGAAAAGAGACAGGGCCCAGTTATCTACCCTGCACCCCTGGCACAGTGCTTGCTTTAATCACTAAAATAGGAATTCATGGTCACTTTTTCTCCAGAACAGGGATGTTTTCAGTTATATCACAGAAAGGTATGTGCGTTCACTGTAACCATTCAGCTATTGCAGAAGGAGAGAGAGAGGTGGAGGGAAGAAAGGCCACTTTTGCAGTTTTGAAAGGTGGCAGCTGATTTTATGGTCTGATGTTGGGTATGATATAAACCTAAGCACCAGATGTCTTGTCTCAGGTGACATTGGTTAGAAGTGCTTAGTTTGTGGCTTCAGATAGAACTGAAATCAGTCTGCTTCATATTGTGCAAGTCTGGGAAGTCTTACTTTTGCCTCAAAGTAGATTTTCAGCTCCTAAGGAAGTTTAGTGTCAAGTCTGAAGAATGTTTGAATTTTGGGCATTCATAGGATTGTTCACAGCCAAGCTGGGGTTTGAGGATCATAGATTGGATGTAGGTGACTCAAGTGGGAATCAGTTAGTATGTGGGAATCTTAGTCCTTTCTAGGTCCAAGATGCCACAGGTGAAGTATAATTCAAACACCCACAAAGATACTTTTAATTCAGTGTGGTGAATGTGTTTGGAGGGAGTGATCCAGGGTGTCTCATGTTGAATTATGAGGATAAAAAACAATGCTGAAAAGATATCTACAGATTGGGTACCATTCACTTTCTGGGGAAAAGAAAGCAGCTATTTTGATATTTAACTGAAGACTATATCATAGTGTTGATGGACAACTTGAAGTTTAAAACTCCCTAAGTTGTATTTGACTTTGTAGTCTTGCCCTTTTTCTAATATCATTTTTGTCATTTTAAAATAAATTGCATATATTTATACCTGATAAAAGGGCTATTGCCATATAAACTGTTGTATGGAGTAAATGATTTGCGTTTTTCCTTTACATTCAAGGTCTTTTTTTGCTGCAAAATTATGTAGCCTCAAAATTGTATTTCTTCTGCAATTTTAAAATATTAAGCTAAAAATGAGCCCAGTTCTTTTCAAAAGTCCATTTGGATGCATTCCAATAGAAGGCAATTATATTCTTCTGTTGGCTTGTATCTGTATGATGGCTTTTACAGAAAAATGATAGCTAATACACTTTTCAACTCAAGGTTCTGGTACAAGATAAAATTCTTCAGCAGTATATTTTCTAAGTAATGGAGCAACTTGCCTTAGATTTGATAAAGCATCTTCTGCATAATACTTCATCTTTTGTCAAACTCCATCCTGGGCAATGTGCTCTAGATGACCCTGCTTGAGTAGGGGGGTTGGACTAGATGATCTCCAGAGGTCCCTTTCAACCTCAGCCATTCTGTGATTCTATAACTCTTATCTCTGCTTCCCACAGAACATCCAGAATAGCCCAAAACTCATAGTATTTGTTTAAGAAATACCCAACTATTGTAGTCAGTGTCCTTCTGCACATGAAAATTAACTGGCTTATGGAAAGGAGCTTTCTAATTTTGTGTATCACCTTTTATTTATTTTTGAAGTGTATCTGTATTAATAGGCAGTACTTTTCTATGCTACCTAGAGCTTTTGAACCTTGAATTGAGAAAAACAACAGAAATTACAGGCTATGCCACATCAGGCTGCAGCTGCAAGACATCTTTAATAAGATGCCGACATCTTTAATAAAATGATATTGAAGATGCCAGTATATTCTGGTCTGTAAGTGAGTTTATTAAATTTTTTTTAACAGTGTTTCCCTTCAACACTTGTGTATCATCTGATTAAAAAAAAAAAAAATACTATTTGTTTCTATTTACCAGAATTACGTAAATTAATCTACTAACTATCTCTGTTTAATGGAATCATATAATGGCATGTGTGAGTAAGTCTGTCTGTAGCTTCTCTTCGCCATTGCTGTATTTCTAGCATCTGTAGGTATCTTGCTTTCAGCACTCCCTCTTTAGTTCAGACAGCCTTGCAAATTGAGACCAGTTCATAAGTAATTGAGACAAAGTTGGAAGGATCTTCTGGTTACTTGATTGCAGTGAATGTCTCTGGCCTGCCACTGCTGTTGGACCACTGGAACTGGCTGCTCCATTTGTACATGCCACCCCCTGGCCGGGTAGTCACGAGCATACTGATAGCACCTTTTCTAGTGCAATAGTCCCCGTGTTCTGCAGGTCAGTACCAGGCAGCATCTAAATGTTGCCATCTTACCTGGTCCTCATTTGGAGAAATCTCTCTTTATGGTATATCAAGTCCTTATCTCATGCCCACTGTATCTGAGACCCTTGTCTGCTGAATAGAGGCACTGAGCTTTATTTGCACAGAAACAATCTGCATAAATGCATGGTCCCCTGCCCTTTCATTACATGTTTTCATCATCAAGAGTATTACGATAGTGAGAATTATAAATAAGACAGCTTCCTTTGCTTTATTAAATGGCACCAAATTGTATACAAATGACACTTGGCAGGATTTTCCACTTGCAGAAGAGGACTTTCCTCCTCTGTATGAGCCTTAGAACACACTCTGCTCCCTTTTCATTGATACAGGGAGCAATTCATCTATTCCTAGTATACTACCAAGAACTAGGATTTATAGGAGCAGTTTAGAACTTTCATATATTTTCACTGAAGTTTTTCCTATGCAAAATAGATCATAAAGATCCTGCATTGTAACCTACAATAAATATATTTTTTGTTAGTAGAAAAATTGGCAGTAGAAAAATTGACTAAAGCTATAGCTTACATAAATTATACACATTTTTAATTTCTGTCTTCTGTGGAACTTCTCTTGGACTGCATTATGATGAATTATTGATTTGTAGGCCATTACATCAGGAAAAAAGACGTCCCCTTCCCCTCCCCCCAAAACCTATGTTCATTAACATCATGTTAGTGCATTTAAACCACAGGCCAAACATTTCCAAAACTTTCCAAACTTGTATGATGAATTCCATGATGACATAGCCTTCTGCAGTTGTTTGCAGTCAACATGTTGGGATATTGTGGGCTTCTGGTATCTCTCTGCACCGCAAAATAATTATGCACAATACACATCTTTCAATTCATGCATTCAAATTATACAGAAAGAAAAAATGTGAATATTTTTTGCTTCCTTAACTGGTTGCAGGATGGGGCATTACAGTGTATAGCCATTGACTCACAGTCTAACTTGGTGTTGCTATTGCAATTGTATTGGGAAATAAAATAGCCTGCATCTATTTAAAGGGATGCAGCTTCTTTGAAACAATAGAAAACAAGGATTTAGTATTAATTGTGGGCTGAAGTTGTATAAAAGATTTAAACATTGCATACTAAAGCTAGAAATTCGCAGTGACATTGTTGTATCAGCAAAAAGGAAAACTCCCATAAATTAAGTCTTTTTCAGTTCTTCATTTTCAGTGTAATTTTAGGAATATTTACATCATTGCTTTGGCAAGACTTGTATTTTTATTATGAAATGCATATCTGCCGAAGGGAAACTGAAAACCAGGCTGGTATTTTCCAAACCATTTAATGGTGGCATAGTTATGTCGCTAACTGAATCAGTGAATGCTGAACCTCTGTGATGTAAGTGTAATGTTTTTTGTTTTGAATGAATGCTTTTACAAATTATCAGATATGACATTTTCACAAGTCATATTGTCAGATAATGTGTATGGCACAAAAGTCAGAACGAACCAACCAGAAAGGCAAAACCCAATGAGGGCTGTGATTCTTGAACAAATTATCACATCAGCTGCTTTGCAGCATTGATATGATAATAAGAGATATTGTGTCCTTTACTGGAGGAAGTGAAAGCAACTGTGGGTTCTGTAGAATAATAGCCCATTCACAGGCATTTCTAGCAGATAGACTGGTAACTTGTTATTCCATGGTACTTCATGTATCAAAGCTCTTCCATAACAGAGAAGCCAACCGTAGAAGATCCCTATGAAAACCTGTAAGCATGCTTACTTTTTAGGTAATTTTAAATCTGTCATTTTTGATGCAGTGTTTATGCATCCCAATGTCTTCGTGTATTACCTGGTAGGATGTTTACTATTTTTTAATTATTTTTCATTATATAAAACTACTTCTCCTACCCTGCAAAGCGTCTTTTGATCGGATTTTTTTGGAGCCCATAATTTGAATAAGTGCCTATAGTTATGTATCAACAACTATCTTAATCTCCTGTATAATAGTAGTCGTTGGATCTCATTGTTCACTCCTGAACCAGGAGAATGTTCTGCTTAGAACAATAGTATACTTGTTAGGGAAACATTCAGTCTTAATTTAAAAACTCAAGTGATGCAGAGTTTATCATTTACTATTTATCCTCACTGATAAGGATTCTGCATGCTATATCTGACTTGAAATTAATATACAATTTTTTTTTATTTGCAGTTCTTACCAGCAATGATTTTCTTTTTTTTTCCTTGATAAAATTTTTGAATAACTAAATGGATAATGATAATGATAAAAATGATAAATGGATAATGGATAATGATAAAATTTTTGAATAACTTTTTGAATAACTGTTTAAACTAGTAATAGATACTTTGGTACCCATGAAGATGATGAAGCACAGTTTATGAATATTTTAAGACTGAACAGATAAACTCATTTTAGAAATGTATGACATCTGTAGTAGAACTGATTTTTTTAAACTGAAATACTTTGACAGATTTAATTGAATGCCTTGCACAAATCTAAGTACATTATATCAATCCAGTTACACCTTTATCAGTCAAGATTTTAACCTCCATAGTATTAATTCTGTTTATCTGAGATCTGTTTTTCATAAAGAAAGCAAATTTAGTGTCAGCAATTAAAATACAATTCTATCGTAATTTTTTGATTATGTGAGTGTTGGATTATCAGCACAGTGGTTTATTAAGTTTAGTGGTTTGCAGTTACCACATTTCTCTCAATAGCTTTTGAAATGTTCCTTAGCGTTAGCAATTTAGTGTTCTGGAACTTTTCAAGCAGTCCAAGATTTACTGCAAATAAATATTACTTATTAAGAGTTATTAAGACAATTATTTCAATGCTTTTGAAAGGGCATTTTGTACAGAGCTAGAAATGTTAAGTTTGCTTTACTATCCCCCTACTCACTGGTGAAAAAAAGCTTTTAAACTGTGCGTGTGCTCTCTTGCTCAGTCTTACACACACGGGCATGCAGGCACACACAGTATGCAAACAACTGATAAAGAAAACTCTCCACTGTCACTGCAAGCAAAGACTATAAGGGGAAATTAATTAAGCTTTAAAATTAAATGAAATATAAAATGTTCTCTACTGAAAGGAGGCTGTAGAATCTATGTATTTAGTACTTTCCAGCATTTACTCATGTATTTTTAATCAACTTTATAGTTATTATCTTGCTTTTTTCTTTTTGCTCGTATGCTTATAATTGTTGACATCTCTCAAGTATATTTATGATAAGGATGGTATTTAAAATTAATAAAGTCTTTCTTTTGCACTTTTTCTGCTCTGTAATATTGTGTTGCAATAGACCAAAATTATACAATTATATATTGAGTCATAAAATCAAATTAACTACTTGTTATTTATCCTAAGATCCATTAACTACTAGTGCCATCAAAAAACTCTTCCATCTCCTGCATCAATATTTATATATATTAAGCATTTTCTCCAAACTTTATTCATCTGAACTTTCCATAATGACTCTTTTTTATTATATGAATGCATCCACTTTCTCTCTGAAGATACTTCTTTCGATACTCAATATTTTCTTGAAATTGCAGTAGCTCCTGCTTATTCAGATGCCAGTTCTGGCTTCTATACTGTGATTAATTTTAGGAATTTGTAAAAATTTTCTATTTAAAATAAAATTTTATTATTAGGAAGCTATAGATCTCTTTAGCAGAGGAAAGATCTTGGAGTCTAATATTTTTTAATTTAAAAAGTATGTAGTTCCCTCCTCTGAATTTAAATACATGTCTATTTCTGTTTTTACTGTTTTCAATTTTGGTTTATTATAGTTCTGCTACTGAGTTGCTGTCTCACAGGAAATAAAGAGACAGTGCCAGAGTGAAGATGATGAACCTTGTTTTCCTGTAAAGTTTCAGTGTAATCCTTCTTAGCAGAAATAATTTGTCAGTATTTGCCATGTCAAAATTGCCACCTAATGTAACTACCATACGGCATATGATGAAAAATGTTGCTTTTTTAAGACAGCATTGTGAGTTCTTGGTAGCATTTGCCTTTAGCTTTGTCTTATCTCTTTTTTCTGTTAAGAGTAACATCTTTCTAGTATAATAATATTAGCAAAACTATAACCAGAAAACGGTAGTTTATTAAAACTGATCTTTTGTGAAATGAAATGAAAAAACGGAAGGTTTAAAGTTTGCATACAGCCTGCTGCAGAAGTGTGTCATTAAGACAGGAAAGCTAAGGCTCAAGTACTGTAAATGACACTGCTGTGTACAGGTATGTGTATAGGAAGCCTGGTTAGTCCCTGGCTGGGAAAGCCTCAGGAACTTCCTGAGCCAGTGAGCTGGGTGGTGCCAGCTCTACTCATTGTGGCTCTCTTTCCCAGGGTCTCTGTGCCCCTTCCTTGGCTTGGCTGGGGCTTGACCTCTTCTCTCTTGACTTTTCCCACCATCTACTCAGGCTCAGGCCACATGTTATTGCCTTCCTTCTGCATGTGCCTGGAAGGGTGCCCAATTACTACTTCTGCTCCTGGAATGCATCTGTGCTCTTTTGGCAACGTATTTTGCAGCCCTCCCCCAGTAGTGCAGTGTGGAGGAGCGCATTGTAGAAAATCGGCTCAGAAAGCACATGAAAATGCAGCAGCTCCCTAAATTGCCTTTAGCTAATCCTCCCAGTAAGGTGGTAAATAGAACCAGTCTGGGAACACAGCACAGTGTGACTTGTTATCACCAGTCTATCTCACTCAAAGCTTAAGAAACAAAAAATACTGTTAAACGTAGGTAAGCTTTTGAGGAGAAAAAAAAAATATTTTCATAGAATTATTATGGGACTTATTATTAATTATATTAATGCTCTATTTACAAGTACGAAAGTTCCACCTGGACTAATTTTCCCAAACCCTTAATAAGATGCAGTTACATAAGTTGCGTTTCAGAGAGCATCCCACATAAATTCTATGTGGGATCTCAAATGTGAAATTTCTCACTGTGTAATATCATAAAATAAGTTACCTCCTTAATGAGCTTTTCATCATACATATGAGGCAAGAAGTAAACCTGCAACGTATGTTTACTTCAGTACACTCTGGAGAATTTCAAGGCTGAAGTGTTGAGTGACAGTGATTTAGATAAAATAGTAATGATGTATAGTATTTCCAAGAAGTTTTGCTGATAATCACAGTTCTTAGTTAGAGGCACATAATGCAAGAAACAAAACTTGCTTATTTCAAGCTGCTGTTTCAAACCTTCTGGAAAGACATTAGATGCTATATGCTTACTAGATTGATATGCTTTGTAATCAAATAGAAATCGGTATTTTTAACTGAAGACTTTTTTTCCTTCCTGTTTAAAAACTCTGTATTTTTTAAAACTCTATGTATTTTATATACACTAAATACTTTATCACAAGTTGCGTACAGTACAGAAGCGGTATGACAGGAATATTTTAAATACTACATTTATTATGATATAGCAGTAGAATGAAATTTGCTGTGATTTAAAAAGAGTAATGGAAGCAATCAAGACTATACATAGCAAATCACACTGGAGAGAAAGAATTACCATCTATATTTGATAATCTTTGAAAAGTGAGTTTGTCTATATTTCTTATCTCTGATCTGTAGTTCAGATAAGTAGAATTACCCTTTGAGGGGAAGAAAAGATTAATTTCCTTGGACTCATTCAAGACATTTTTTATTACCATAAATTATAATTGGATGGCTGACACCAAGAGTTCAGGTTTTACTTGATTTTTTCTTAGTTTGGAACTCAGGAAATATTTGTATGAGTCTGGCAGTCTGTTTTATAAAGCTGTTGCTCCGGTTAATATAACATCTGGTGTCTGTTTGTTTTAGGCATAATTTCATTTGTTGCTGAAGATGAAGACCAACAGCAGTCTCAGCATAACAGCTCACCAGAGAAGACAGATGCTGAAAAGGCCCTTCAGAAATCGTCAGCAGAGACACCACCAACTCTTTACAGAGCAAACATCGGTATGTTTATAATTATAGATAATTTCATTATCAGTTTGTATAACTTATAACTTATATCATCCTGTACTTTTAAATGAAAATTTTTTTTATGTGCCAGGTCACATGCCTGTGAACAATGTAAAGTCAAATGTTTATTGCATGCATATACAAAAGTTCTCCCTTTACTGATTTTTGAAAAAAAATTATGAAATTTTAAGCTTAGTTTATGTTTCATTTTACTTTCCCACAATTTGCCACCAAAATGTCTAGATTTTTTTTCAAGATGTGGATGTTTTGGAAGAGGGACAACCTTTATTAAATGCTTTATTTTTTTCAGTAATATTAATCATGCTGATGTTAAAGCCTACATTTTCTGGAATTTACATCACTCCGAGTACATGGAATAAACTGCCTTTTAAATGTTAGTGGTAGAGGCTTCCTTGATCAGTTACAGTAAAACCTTGCATTCTTGGTATCTTCAGAGCCTTTAGCATAGAAGAGAATGTTCCAAGAAGCAGAATGCGTTGGTGTTATATGAGTACTTACATGGGAATAATAGAATATGAAGGATCACCTAAAAATTCTTCACAAGTAGTAGATACTTGTGAAGAAGAGATGATTTTTTCATTGTAAAATGTTGATTCTTGCTGGTAGAAACTTTGGACTGAAAAGATAAACTGCTTATGCTTTATCATACTAGTCAATTTTGTACTTTCAAAATCTCAGTTGTTTTGAGAGCTTTCCTTATCCAAAGTTTAAAAATTTGTAATTTCCAGGTTGAATATATTGAGTTGATATTGTCCATCAGTTTAGGTAACATTTAACTCTTGATGTGTTTGGAGATAACAGTCCTATCCTCTCTGAGCTTTCATTTTACCTAGCTAATCAGGCCACCTTTTTTTGTAAGATAGGTTTTTCATTTTGCTACTTTTAATTTTTACTGTACTTTGCTGTTTACTGTTTACTGTACTGTTTACCTTTCCTACTATTAATGCTTACTGTAGCTATTCTCTGCAGTTTGTTAGTGTGAGTTTTTTTTATGCTATTGCATATTTTATACTGAAATACAAGGATGGTATGAGCTTATTTTCAACCGATCACATTTTTGAATCTTCTTTACTTAAAAAAGACATTTAAATAACCTGTTAAGAAAATTATATTGATTGCTTTTTTCTAGCTAATTTGTAAATGTAAGTCCCTAAAGTTTCAATGGTGCTCTCAAGCTGCACAATCCATGTAGAATAGCTGGTTACTTTTCAGATCGTCATCTCTCTCATAGTTTATTATAAAACGTTGCTGGAAAATTGTTGAGATTTTTAAGGGTTCCCGAGGAACACTTTTGTGATTACAAATGTGGACTCCAAATTGACTAAGATTTTCTTGTTTTTTTTTTTTTTTGATTTCTTTTGTTTTTCTGTTTGTATTAACTAATTTCTACTTTTTCTTATTTACATGCCAAGTAAAGCTTTGCCTTTAAGATTCTGCATTTTATGATTTTAATACCTAATTTGGAACATTTTTTAATTACCAAACATATGATCAAAGTGTGTTTCTCACAAGGAAAGCTAGCCTAACCTGAAAAAGGTGGTGGTGTAATCAACATTTAGTTTTTAGCTCGTAGTGGAAAGAACTTGGAACTGGAGAAGATCTCTTTACCTTCTTTATAATTGTAGTTTCACTGTAGCAGAATTGATCTAATTTTAAAAATAACTAATTAAAAGCTAATTTAGTTATTAATAAATACACGTTTGTTTAGTCTGAGTTAATCCAATGTTAATGTCTGTAGTTAACAATATGTAGAGATCCAGAGAGAGATTAGTTATGCCATCTCTGACATGAGCACTCCCAAGAATTTATAATCTGTATAGACAAGACAGACAGGAAGAAAGCAGAAACTCAGAGAAGTGACTATCTCTGATTACACAGTCAGTAGTTAATGCTGGGAATAGTAAAAAGCAGTTTTTTTACTCTTAGGTCAGAGCGCTATCAATGAATTTACCTTGTTTGTCTGATTTACCACGTTCATTACCATGTTCGGTTTTGCTAAATATTTAGTGTGCATTTTGAAACACTTTTATTACACAGCTCAGACTGCTAGTATATTTTCCTCTGTGGTGTACAGTGCACTTCATTTAAGAGCTGTATTAAAATTTAGCAAAAGATAGTGAAACATTTTCTATGGTTATGTAGCTCTTACACAAAATCAGATCTTTTATAGTCCATTACTTTATGCAAACTAACAGTTGGTAGCACGATTTGAGTTTAAAATACAAAAGGACTAGAAGAGATGGAGAAAAATGTAGCAGTCCTGGGCGCTGCAAGATGTTATTTTCAGATGAAGACTGAAAATAATCAAAAAGAAAGTGAGATGATCAGTAAATGAACCTTTTTTGATAAGGCTTAAGATAAGGCTATTGCAAAGTGGTAGAGTTATAAGAAGAAAACAGAAAGGAAGTCATTATTTGATGAACTGAGAAACAAGGGAGATGAGAGGAAGTCTGGAAATATTAAATAGAGGATTTTCAAAGCCCAGGAAAAATTTTTGAACTAAATTAAAAAATAAATATAACGTGAGCGTGAAATAAATATAATGTGAGGACAGTACAGATTCAATTCTTCTGTCTGATATTTTTAAGAGAAACGCTAGAGTGTTGAAGTAGTGTTTTTCTAAATACTGGTATCAAGAGAACTAGAAACAGGACAAAGTTCTTAAAAAGGCAGTTACAAGGAAATAAAATAATCATTGCTTAACAGTCTTTGCTTTTGAAAGTTTAAGAACATTTACTCACGTTCTCCTATGTCTAGTTCTTTTTATTTGAATTTGGTTACAACAATGTAGATGGCATTCAAAGTCTCACAATGAATCAATAGAAGTTCACAGAAGAAGGATTTTAAGAGATTAAATTTAGGCAATGTTTCCAGATAATGCAACAGAAATGAGAATTAGTAGATTTCAAGACATTAGGAGGAGCTAATCATAAAAGAAATACCAAGAGTGATACAGGGACAATAGTGGAGATAATCTTGAAATCTCTACTGAATAGAGAAAGCGAGGAAATGGTCATGAATTTAATTATGCTTCTATTGTCCAAGCTAAACATTTCTGCTTAGGAGATATTTAGCTGTTGCATAGTTAAGAATTATCAGTGCAATACTCACATAAACTGTCATTGAAAGTAGCTAAAAAGAGAAGGATAAGTGAGTGAATTTTTCAGTACTATTCCTATAACTGATAATATGAATTAAGGGCATTGCTCTTAGTTACAAAATTCAAAAGAAATGTTATTTCACTGTTTATCTTCACTGTTGAGACTTTTTATCATTTTTGTTTCCTTTAAACAATATGAGATTGCTTAATGTATGCAGCTGGGATGTATTTATTAATTTTTTTGGTGGATGATCAGTCTAATAGCTTGCTGAGAAGGACCAGGTAATCAGCTCCAACTCAGCTCCCTTTTTCTCTGCGCATTAGTTTACACAGATGTACTCACTGCAGAACACTGGGTCCCACTGGTCGTTCCTATTGGTACTTAGAGAAACCTGTACAGCTTACTCATACATCAAGTTACTCTATCTTATTTTTCAGTTGTCGTCCTTTGCTATCATAGCACTACTCTCCAGTTATAGCTTAGGCTTACTGTAACCTATGTGCTTCTAGTAAATTGTATTATCTGAAGTCTCATGACTGCTAACAATGTTTAGGACTTTGTTAGAACTACCTTCTAAAATGGACTTAAAGTAGACATAAAATGACTCTTCCCTAAAAGTATATTGCTTAATAATGTGCCTGACTTTTTCGTCAAAACAGAAGATAGACCATCGTCATGCCCATATCCTAGGAATGGCAAGCTTTCATCTCACCTTTAAATCAAATAACTACATGTAGTCTTTTCACCAATCATCATCTTTCATCACAACTGTTCATTTGTGCTAGATATCTGTAACTTTTACAACTGGGGAAAATAGTTGCTGAAAATGGCTTAATAGAGATGGAAGGTACTAGTGTGTGATCTAACTTACATAAGAGTAGTAGTTGTGGATGGAGTATCTAGTATATGCTGAGACATGGTTTCATTTTTCTATTTCTTTGCTTTGATGTGTTTGTAGAGCAAGCTATGTGGAGTGCTGACTTTGAAACTTCATAATGAAATGTATGAAGTAATTTCTATTTATACTAGTTATTTCTGAGATGCATATTTCTGTAATAACTATATCTTACTAAGGTTACACTGGCAATAAATGTGAGAGGTATTGAATGCTCTGTTGATGATTAATGGGAATTTCTTCTTGATTTGTAACATTTTTTTGGTTCTTTTAAATTCTATATTCACCAGTAATTAAAATTCTAGTATCCCTTTCATAGTAAAACTTGTATGGGGATTTCTTCTCTTTATGGTTACCTTTGTATTAGCTTTTCTGTGAAGATCTTCTCTCTTTTTCGCCAAATTATTTTAACATTTTCTTAAGAGGCTATATTTACATTGGTAGAAAACAAACCATTGAATCAATCAAACAATTGTTATGAATTATAAAAACTCTGTCCCTCCTGTCTCCCTTACTCTTTTAAGAATCGGATGGAAACAAGCCACAGAACTCAAGGTCCTCCAAAGAAAATTCCTTGTCATTTGCTTTCATAGTAAAACAGGTTTTTATAGTAATCTATCAGTATTTTATGGAGGAAAAAAAGTATCTTGATAACAGTCAGATTTCAAACCAAGTAGAATGATACTGAATGAAAACGTAAGCTCTTTCTTATAATATAACATTTGATTATCTTGGGCAGGTGTAAAAGAAACAGTTCCTGAGGGTGGATTCAGTAATTTTTACACATTCTTTCATGAACACAGTAGGGATTAAGCAAGAAACTATTTGCTCACCACTGTAAGCCTTAAATACAGCTCTGGTCCCTCCTTTCCTCCCATGTCTCCCCCAGGTTTGGTCTTTCCTTTTCTTGGAGGCCTGTCTTTCTGTTGCTTCTCTTGCTTTCTGTTCTGCCTCCCTGGTCTCCTTCCACTGATTCT